TGTGTGTGTGTGTGTGTGTGTGTGTGTGTGTGTGTGTGTGTGTGTGTGTGTGTGTGTGTGAGTGTGTGAGTGTGTGTGTGTCCCAAGAGCACTGAAAGACCCTGTCATTTTAATAATTTCAAGATACGTCTACATACATTCTACATGTTATTAGTGAAATGGCACAATGTATAAGATATGAGAATACAGCAAACACTTTTAAGTCTGGTTCGGTTTGATTAAATGAACAATTTTGATTATCTGTAAATGTAATACGTCCCTATCTATCAAAACAATTTCGATAGATATCTGGAAATAGTCTAGAAATGACCTTTTAGGAATAAGGAAGTGGGCAGCCACCCATAGTTGAGGAGAAAAGTGGCAATCTCAGAAAGGTAATATGATGATAACAGATTCTAATAATGCTACAGTCATTCTGCTGTTGTACAATGATAACTGACAACAAAGCAACAGTGACTCTGCTGTTGTATGATGATAAAAGATAACAGATTCTAACAAAGCAACAGTGAATTTGCTGTAGTATGATGATAAAAGATAACTGACAACAATGCTACAGTCCCTCTGCTGTAGTATGATGATAAAAGACAACAGATTCTAACAAAGCTCCAGTCCCTCTGCTGTAGTATGATGATAAAAGACAACAGATTCTAACAAAGCTACAGTCACTCTGCTGTTGTATGATGATAAAAGATAACAGATTCTAATAAACTACAATCAATCTGCTGTTGTAACATACAAAACGAAGATGAGAATTTACGGTGGTAGTCGTGAAAGACATTTCGGTTAAAAATTCTCATAATTATAGAAAAAACATATTACAGCAAAGTTTAAGTAATAGCCTTTGGTCGAACTTATAAGAAATGAAGGTGGTTTTTACGCTCCCATCAACACAATTTAGGTTATATTTTATGAGGTAGGTAGCATTTGGTGGAATCTCATTGAACTTAAAGCTAACCAACACAACTTCCTTGGGCGTAGTATCTTTCTTAACCTATAACTATCTCCGAGGTTTTATTCTAAAAAAATTATGAAATTATGTAAACTGAGCCCCAAAATATGAAATTATGCGATTCTGTTAAATTTTAACAAAGAATGATAAAGGAAAATAATCAGAAATTATGCGAAAAATGATCAAATATTGCTAAATTATGCGGGGTGCATAAAACCACGGGGACAGAAATAAGGTCATTCTGGGTGACCTTCGCCGTCTGGTAGCTGATGTACTGTGTGAACTCCTGGAGGTCGTGGCACGGTTACTCATGAGATGCTGGTGCAGGGTTGATTTGACACCTTTTCTTCATTCACTATAAATATCTTTTAGTTTTAGTAGAGGTTTTACGGCGCTCGCAACTGCATAAGGTCATATGAGCGCCATATAAATATCTGATTGCCTGTACTCCAACAGTGTACTCATATGTCATTATCAAACTGTTTTTGATTGTTTTCTTTAAACTTTGGCGGGTAGTACATTTTTGATCTTGCAGCTTGCTTGAAACCTTTCTTTTCTTACTGTTCTGTATCGGTGCGATATCGTCCATTTATGCATTCATGTCGGCTATGTATTTATAATTATGTGTTTATGATGTATTTATGTATGAATTTATGTATGGTATGTACGTATTTATTTATGCATTTATCTATGTATTTATAATTATGTGTTTATGATGTATTTATGTATGAATTTATGTATCATAATGTATGGTATGTATGTATTTATTTATGCATTCATCTATGTATTTATAATTATGTATTTATGTATATATTTAGTTTATAATCATGTATTTGTCTATTTATGCATTTATCTATGTATTTATAATTATGTATTTATGTATGTATGTTAACCATTGCAACCCATATTTCCCCTCGGGGATCAATAAAAATCTTATTTATTATTATTATCATTATTATTATTATTATTATTATTATTATTATTATCATTATTTATTATACTGAAAATGCTCATGTTCACGTATTTCAAACGTAACTTGCGGCAACAAAGCGGGGAATAGGTTTAAGACTTGTCATAGTGAAGTCCTGGTCTCTGAATACCACACTCATTCACTTTTCCAACCAGGAAGAAATACAAAAATGACCAGTCAAAAACACAATTTCAGAACAAAATATTCGACTTGGATGTAATACGCACAACAAAATAACTTAAGAAAACAATACTCAACTTGCACACTAAATGTACCAAAAAATGTTAAGTTAGGATACAATATGTACAAAAAAACAAGCAAATTAAGGACAGAATGTTCAACTTGGGTACAATAATCATCAGGTTAAAGGCTGACAGTAATCTTTTTTACTTAAAGAAGCAGGAAAACTTGACAGACTATTTTTGAAATATTTTTTTTCTTTTCTATCGAGCAATCTCTATCACGTTACTCCATTCAGTTTTCAACTCACACACTTCATAAAACCTGGTGGTCTCAAAACTTTTAAGCTCACAAAAGGACACATGTAAGAGACAAGAAGATTATATTTATAAATTCAAAGTTAATTTGGCTTATATATCCTCAACTTGTTGTTTTAGTAGAGGTTTTACGGCGCTCGCAACTGCATACGGTCATATGAGGGCCAGAAGATTAGAGGTGTTACAAGAGATAAACAAACATAAAAAAGAAGAAGGGGAGATAAGGACAATAGATGTTTGATAGGAAAGAAGGAGCAAACTACACCAGAGCACCCGCCAACCACCCACATACCCTCAACATACACTCAAATTTTGACAATCAACCACACCAGAGCACCCGCCAACCACCCATATATCCCCAACAAACACTCAAATTTTGACAATCAGAAAATAAAGCAACAAGTGTAAATGAAAACAACAACAAAATGCACCTTAAAGACAGAGCATAGAGAGAAGCAGCAGCTGCCGACAATTCCCCCCCCCCCCTGATATGACGATAAGTTGTACAATATTCAAGTCAAACTAAAAGGCAGCAACAATCAAAAAATATAAAAAAAGAATAACGCTATAACACATTTACTTTGATCATTGTCCATCTAACAATAAAAAAGGTTCAACATTAAAATATTAACAAGACTGTTTTGATCAATGACCAACCAACAATAAAAAAGGTTCAACATTAAAATATTAACAAGATTGTTTTGATCAATGACCAACCAGCAACAATAATAAAGGTACAAAACTTTAGCACAATAAATGTTTCGATCAACGAACCGACCAGCGATAAAAAAGGAATAGCATTTGGACACAATTGTTTTGACCAATGACCATCTGTGTGAATCTGAGACAACAGTGTAACATAGCACCTGGTTAAATCTTCTCCTTACTTAATACATTACAACAACTCGAAGAAACAACAACAGGAAAAGTAAACTAAAAGAGGCGAACCACCTCATTTCCCCTACCTACTCTCGTCCACTAAAAGAGGCGAACCACCTCATACCCCCTACCTACCCTCGTCCACTAAAAGAGGCGAACCACCTCATACCCCCTACCTACTCTCGTCCACTAAAAGAGGCTAACCACCTCATACCCCCTACCTACCCTCGTCCACTTTCTCTTTCTCCCTGAAATAAGCACTAAAAACTTCCGAAGAAAAGGGCAAATCAATTGTGCCATTTAAGAGGCACAGATAAAAAGTTGAATAAATGCCCAACATTACTCCCCCAAATACAATCAAAACAATTGAACTACCCCCCCCCCCCCCCCCACACACACATTTCTACTCAAACATCTAACCAAAACAACCCCAAAACCAATACAAAAAACAAAGACAATAAGATTATGGTGAAAAAAGAAAGATGAGTGAGAGAGAGGTAGAGAAAGAGAGAGAGAGAGAGAGAGAGAGAGAGAGAGAGAGAGAGAGAGAGAGAGAGAGAGAGAGAGAGAGAGAGAAAGACACAGAGAGAGAGAGGCAGAAAGAGAGACAGAAAGAGAGACACAAAGGAGGGTGAAGAGAGATAGAGAGTGAGAGAGAGAGAAAAAGAGAGAAGGGGTGGGGAGAGAGCAAAGAGAAAGAGAGGAGAGAGAGAGCGCGAGAGAGAGAGAGCACTACAGCGAGAGAGACAGAAAGAGAAAAAAAAGAGAGAGAGAACAGAGAGGAGAAAGAGAAAGAGAAAAAAAAGAGCGCCCAACGTGATCACAGTTTGCGACTGGTAAAACCATCCCTCACTCCCTCACTCACACCCTCCCTCCCTCACACAATCTTATCCACAATGACAAACTCCTGACCCTCTGACTTCTCCGTCTCTCGGCGGACCGACAGTTCCTTCAGCGCGCCGTCCAGGGAATCTTTACTGCCCTGGAAGCTTCGAATGGCCGAGGCCAGCTGCAGCTGGAAGTTCACCTGGTTGAGAACGGCTTCTGTGCGGCTGTTCATGAGTTCATGCACATGACGCGAGCCTCGCTGCTTCACCTGGCGCGGGGAGGGCCGGATCAGCTTGTTTTCCTGGTAGATGAACAAGAATTTGATGAGGTGAGATTGTGTTTTAGTTTTAGTAGAGGTTTTACGGCGCTCGCAACTGCATAAGGTCATACGAGCGCCAGAAGATTAGAGGTGTTACAAGAGAGTAACAAACATAAAAAAGAAGAAGAGGAGACAAGGACGACAGATGTTTGATAGGAAAGAAGGAGCAAGGTGAGGTTGCGTGTTTTTCTGATTTGATGAGGGGAGGTTGTGTGTTTTAATGAAAGATGAACAATTTGATGAGGACAGGTTGTGTGTTTTTTTGTGAAAGATGAACAATTTGATGAGGGGAGGTTGTGTGTTTTTTTATGAAAGATGAACAATTTGATGAGGTGAGGTTGTGTGTTTTTCTGATTTGATGAGGAGAGGTTGTGTGTTTTTCTGATTTGATGAGGAGAGGTTGTGTGTTTTTCTGATTTGATGAGGAGAGGTTGTGTGTTTTTCTGATTTGATGAGGAGAGGTTGTGTGTTTTTCTGATTTGATGAGGAGAGGTTGTGTGTTTTTCTGATTTGATGAGGAGAGGTTGTGTGTTTTTCTGATTTGATGAGGAGAGGTTGTGTGTTTTTCTGATTTGATGAGGAGAGGTTGTGTGTTTTTTTGTGAAAGATGAACAATTTGACAAGGTAAAGTTGTGTGGGTTTTTTTTAAAGATAAAGACGAACAATTTGATAAAGTGATATTGCGTGCCCTCTGCAGAGGAGGTGCCCTATAGTTTTACTACGGGGGAGCAAAAAACAAAAAAACCCAAAAAGACAATTTTTCTGTTTTCTTGCAACAGTGACAATATTCTCCTAATGGCCTTCTATTGGACGTATTCTATTACCAGATTCTATTTTTTGATTAGTTTTAGTAGAGGTTTTACGGTGCTCGCAACTGCATAAAGTCATATGAGCACCAGAAGATTAGAGGTGTTACAAGAGAGTAACAAATAAAAAAAAAAGCAGGAGGGGAGATGAGGACGATAGATGTTTGACAGGAAAGAAGGAGCAAACCACACTAGAGCACCTGCCAACCACCCACCAAGATTTTATGAAACAAAAAATAAATAAAAACCATTGCAGGAGTGGGGACAAGGCAAAATGCTAAAATCTTTCAGAAACATTTTCAAGGACATATGTGAGGTGTTGCGGTGAAATCAGGCGCTCGTCAAAATAAGAAAATCGAAGATACCAACATCTATCCACCGATATGGCAATTTGTATCAAATTTTTGTTTTTTGGCGTAAAACGTTTTATATCCATTTAAAAACACATTTCTATACGGATTTTACAGAAAAGCATTTACTAAAGGCAGAAAAATGTAAATTTGCAGCTTCCAAGGACTCTCAAACTATGGAAGTTACCGAACTTTGGCGGCCATTTTCTCGCTAATTTTACATCTGAAACCAGGCGACCCCACCTCCTTCAAACGCAAACATCTCGACGTCTGTTGAAGATAAATAGGCATTTTTTCATCAAAAGATAAACAAATGAATAAGCTTTAAGATAATACCAATAACTCCACACGCCCAAAAATTGACGAGCGCCTGCTTCCACCACGTCATAGCACATATGTTGTTCATACCTTCCACCACGTCATAGCACATATGTTGTTCATACCTTCCACCACGTCATAGCACATATGTTGTTCATACCTTCATTCGCATCCTGATCATGTCCTTCACTATCATCATGTGTTCTTCTACGTCTTCTTTGCAGTTTTTTAAGCAGGCCTTTACGTCCTCTTCCACTTTCTGAAAAAGAACATTGTTAAAGTTATAAATAGAACACGGGAAACCCTAAAGAGTTAATAATAAATAATAATAATAAATTGCATTTATACAGCGCATTTCCACAAAGAAGTGCTCAATGCGCTGTACAATAATACAAAGAACATATGCAGCGCACAGCTACTACAGTAATCTTCTCTCTCTCTCTCTCTCTCTCTCTCTCTCTCCCTCACTCTGTCTCTCTCTCTCTTCTATCTCTCTCTCTCTCTCTCCCTCACTCTGTCTCTCTCTCTCTTCTCTCTCTCTCTCTCTCTCACTCTGTCTCTCTCTCTCCAGTACATCCTTGAATTGCTGAAATAATCTGCACACCATATAACTCTGTAAGCAAAAAAATCTATTCACATCAATATTTATAATAAGTATCCTTCTTTATTTCTACATTTACACAAAAGCTTATAGTTAGTGATGCAAGTGTTTCATACTAACAGTAAATCGCCGATTCATTAGATTATACGGAACCATTTTCAGTTTCTAACCGTGTCTGTGAACAATCTTCAGAAAGCTCAAAACCTGTCAGTAAGACAAAAATCCTATACAGATTTCCCAACTCTCAACTACTGAAGCTATTTCTTATCTATGCTGTTTAAACCATAGTTATGAGCTTATCATCATCATCCAGTGCCATATCTGCGACAGACATCGGCGATCATGGTACTTCATTCATTCCTTTGCTCCGATGCTCTAAAAAAAGCTACGTTTCCCTGATCTGTCCCTGTTACCCATTTGTTTAGTTTCCCTAAGTTAGTTGCTCTGGGCCTACCCCTGCCTCATTTGTTTCAATTTTGCCAGTGAGAGCTAGATGTTCAAGACCCTTATGTCTATTCAGGTGTCCCAAAAACTGCATTTGTCATTTCCTGATTGTTTTTAACATTGAGCGTCCCACGTGGGCTTCACCAAGCACTACCTCATTTGATTTCTTTTCCTTCCACGATACTCTTAGCAGTCTCCTAAGAAACCACATTTCTTATAACTGCTTAGTACTGATCTAATTGTTCCAATCATTCCAATCAGGACAGAGATTCATTTGAATTTGGAAACAAGAAACTACAAAGTTGAGTTACCATTTTCCAACTGATCCAGACCATACCTAGGTGAAAATATGCCAAGTAACACAGATACCCAAGAGACACTTCTGTAACTGAAATGCCACTCTTCCTAAAATAAAACAAAATTCTAAAGCAAGTACTAAACCTAACAGAGCAATATACTGCTACTACTGATTCACAACACACTAAATCTGTTTAGTTTTAGTAAGAGTTTTACAGCACTTGTAACAAAATAAGTGCCGAAGATTAGAGATGTTACAAGCGAATAACAAACACAAAAAAAGGAGGGAGGAGAGATAAGGACGATAGATGTTTGATAGGAAAAAAGGAGCAAACCACACAAGAGCACCCTCCAACCACCCACACAAAATTTGCGTTGAAATCAAGGGCAACTATCATAGCAGAATACGCAACAGCATGTCTGCAGTACATAACTGAAACAAGTTACCTTGCTCAGAGGCTGATTTTATTTCATTATTGAACAAAAAAATCCTTATCCGTCTTTGATAGAATTTAGCAGTCAAAACCAAGCAGCAGCAAACTGATACATGATACAATTTTGGAAATAAAAAAACCCAGGAGTGGTGACGTTTTTCAAATCAACAGTGACTGAGAACTGTTGTCATGGACCTCAACTTTTGAAAAGCTTTACCAAAATCCTCTGGCTATTTTAGCTCAAACCCTTAAACATGTATTGCTTTTTGAAAGAAAATTATGCCAACATTTCAAATCTCAAAACTGCCAATCGAATTTTCCTATAAATTGTCCATCAGAGGACTTTCTCTGAAAGGATGCTTCCTGCTTTTTACTACCTGGGCAGTTATATCAAAGGTGTTAAGCACAGGCAGATGCGTTAACTCCCACTGTATTCTCAAAATCTGATATTTTTTAAAACAAAGTTGTACGGACAGGCCACAAACACTTCAATAAATGGTATAGATCTAGTGTAAATTCTACCAATAGAAATGCATGAAAACAGCCACATGAAATTTGACTTGATGTGATATTTTCCATTGTTAAGATTTGAAATCCGTTGTTAGCCTCTTCTCCAAAATGGACTTCCTGAGGTAACTTGTTTCAGTTATGTACTACAGACATTCTGTTGTTGTACATGCTGCTATGATAGATCTAGTTGCCCTTGACTTCAACACAGGTTTAGTGTGGGTGGTTGGAGGGTGCTCTGGTGTGGTTTGCTCCTTCTTTCCTATCTCTTACTTGCTCCACCGCCATCAGGAAGAGAGGCAGATCGTCCTCGATCTTGTGGCGGTCGGTCAGGTGAAGTGTCTCGTAGACAAGCTGCCTCAGGTAGAGATGTGTGCTTATTATAGCCTGCGGAAACAACAATAGATTAGTTTTAGTGTTAGAAAAGGGCTTTACGGCGCTCGCAACTGCATAAGGTCGTATCATATGAGCGCCAGAAGATTAGAGGTGTTACAAGAGAGAAACAAATATAAAAAGAAGAACTAGGGAGATAAGGACGATAGATGTTTGATAGGAAAGAACCACACCAGAGCACCCGCCAACCACCCACAAACAGTAAGTAGATGAACAGCTATGGCATGTCTGAGCTAATGTTATAACCAATTGTTTTTTCGAACATAAGAGATGAGAAGTGAACTGTTGTTCGCTTGACCCAATTTTTTTTTGGAATAACCATTTGCTTTGTAAGGCTTAGTTTAGTTTTAGTTGAGGTTTTTATGGCGCTCGCAACTGCATAAGGTCATATGAGCGCCAAGGGGCGGATATCAACAGAGAAGTCCTTACAGGGAATCAGACTTACTCTGCTCACCTCTCTAGCTTCAACAGCACAAAGTTTGCTTCGACAATCAAGGCACCCTGGAAATAGCGGGTCACAAGAGTGTGACAAACATACAAAAGAAGTAGAGGAAAATGACGATAGTAAGGATTAGGAAAGAAAAAGTAGCAGTTCCCAGTTGTAGTTCAGGCACAGTTATGAGCATGACATTGTTGGATCAGCCCATTTACAATTCTACTGTGCATTAGAACGAGAAATGTCCCCCCCTTTGGGAATGGCCCAAAGACACTTCAGTCAGTGGCACCACCCCGGAGGGTTTTGTAAGGCAATGAGATGAATAACTAGTTACTGTTTGTCTGAGCTAAATGGACAAGAAAATAGTTATTGGGTATCTGAGCTATAAAGAAATGTGTATAACTCATTGTTGGTTGAGTACACAAGATGAGTAATGACCAATCTTTCTTGTGAGGCAAACGGATGATGGAATAAGCCATTTTTTGTTTGAGTTAAAAAGATGCACAATGAGTTGTTGAAATCTAATCGATGAGAAACAAGCTATACTTTATTGGGGCCAAATACATGAGATACAAGCAGTCATGGGATTGAGAATAAAAGATAAGCACTAGCTATTAAATTGTTTGTTCAAGTCAAACGAGGAGAAAGAAACATGCCATTATTTGTTCCAGCATAAAAGATGAGAAGCAAGCTATACGCCGGCAGTATTGCATACAGACGTAAGTCATTTTTGGCAGCCTTTGAGATACGCTAGTATGCAATACAGCTCGCGGATAGTTTGTTGGAGAAGAAAATATAATTAACCAGCCATTGTTGGAAAATAAAAGATGAGAACCAAGCTATAGTTTGTTTGAGAATAAAACATGACAAATAAGCATCTGTTTGAGAATAAAACATGACAAATAAGCAACTGTTTGAGAATAAAACATGACACATAAGCAACTGTTTGAGAATAAAACATGACAAATAAGCAACTGTTTGAGAATAATGTAATACTTTTCAAGAAGCTACTGTATGAATGGGAATAAAAGTAGAGAAACAAGCTTTCGGTGTGTGAGCAAAAAAAAAAGAAAAAGAACCCCAAAAGATTTCTTTAGTTTATCAAAGCCCAACTGAGAAGAACAACCTATTATTTATTTCAGACAAACAGATAAGTAAAGACTTACTATTTGTTTGAGCACAGGAAATAATAAAACCCCCCCCCCAAAACTGTCTTTTCCGCAAAAGAATACAATTTGAAGCACATTATATTGACACAGATGCCCCAAATATCATGCAGGCAATTAAAGGAACGTGAAACCAAATAAAAGTTTTCCTAAGGGATATATTTTCTGGGAAGACCTTTCCTTTAAATGTGTGTGCATAAGAAATAACCAAATGGGTGTGCATGATACCACCTGACAATTCAGCAATTTTATGTAAATTGACATGTATTGGTGATATTTTATCTTGCTCCGTCTTCCAGCTTTCAAGCGGGCTACATCATAAGTTGTCATGCCTGATTAAGAGTGCTGTGCTGTGGTCATGCGCTACTGAAAATACCTTCGGCGGAAGTGTCTGAGCTCACGCTTGTCGCACGTAACGGTTCTACATCGGGTGAAAGTGGAGGGGAGGGCTATGGGCCGATATGTCAAAAAGTACAAAATGATTAGTTGTGGGAAAATCTGACAAGTGGGACATAATATTAAATACTTAAAACGAAAGTAATGAAAAGCTGAAAATTAAACTACAGTGACTTTAGGCTCCGCAATGAAACTGTGCATCCTTTAAATGATTCTGAACCGCTTTTAATTTTGTCAAATTCGAAAGTTAAGTGGTTAGGAAGTTTTAGGCGGCCAAAGTGACGGACTTTCACAAATATAATATGTATAGATTAAATTTATAATCATATATTTGTCTATTTATGCATTTATTTATGTATTTATAATTATATATTTATGTATGTATGTTTACGATATTTCCCCACGGGATCAATAAAAACGTTATTTATTATTATTAATATTACCATTATTTATTATGCTGAAAATGCTCATGTTCACGTATTTCAAACGTAACTTGCCGCGACAAAGTGGGGAATAGGTTTAAGACTTGTCAGAGTGAAATCCTGGTCTCTGAAAACCACACTCATTCACTTTTCCAACCAGGAAGAAATAAAAAATGACCACTCAAAAAACAGTTTCAAAACAAGGGCAGGGCTACGGGCCCACGTGTCAAAAGTACAAAATGATTAGTTGCGGGAAAATCTGACACGTGGGACATATAATATTAAATACTTAAAATTGAGGGTTCTACTCCAATTCAAGGGAAAAGGATTTTTACGTATGTGGCCTTAGGAAATGTCTGGTTTCAGTTTGGCTTGAGGAAAGAAAACCATGTTGTCTTGAGAGCAACCACTCAGTGCCAGAAATAAATAAAAGATTAAAAAAAATAAAAATGAAAAAATAAAGTAAGATAAAGGTAGACGACAGGAAAAAAAAAACCAACAGTGAAAGAAAAGAAATAGGACTAACCAGCTGCATCCAGGAAACAGCGAGAGAGATGAACAAAACCAGCAAGGTGGAGGGGGGGGGGGGGGGGGGCTAGAGAGGTAAAGAAGGAGGATCTATCAGAGAAACCCTGCAGCGCCCTATACTGAAGTTTTGCATGTCAGATTTGAACATAACATTTGGAAGCCAAAAGGAATTTGTCCAATATTCGTTTTAGATAAGTCCATAGAATGGTTTTACTCTATATGGAGCATTAAAAAAAACAACTCCTTTTCAACCTTTAGTTTTAGTTTTAGTAGAGGTTTTACGGCACTCGCAACTGCATAAGGTCATATGAGTGCCAGAAGATTAGAGGTGTTACAAGAGAGTAACAAACATAAAAAGGAAGAAGGGGAGATAAGGACGATAGATGTTTGATGGGGAAGAAGAAGCAAACCAGACCAGAGCACCCGCCAACCACCCACATTTTCAATCTTGTCGCCATTTGTCACCACAAGGCTCACATAGTAAAAACCTTTGCCATCAAAGGCAAAAGGCATTTTGGGGAAAATCCAAAGAAACTGGGGGGGGGGGGTAAACATCGCCGATCGGTGAGGTGTGACAGCAAAGTGTTAACTCTTTCACTACCGCGAGCTGATCTGCGAGATGTGATAGCAAAGTGTTAACTCTTTCACTACCTCCAGCTGATCGGCAAGATGTGATAGCAAAGTGTTAACTCTTTCACTACCTCCAGCTGATCGGCAAGATGTGATACCAAAGTGTTAACTCTTTCACTACCGAGAGTCGTAATACGCAGCGTCCAATGGGGTTTAAAGAGTTAAAAAAAACAACAACTAAAAAAAAAAAGAAAGTGTATTGGCACCAGTTGTGTAATGTAAAAAAACACCTACCGATACATAAAAAAACCCAACAACCCAAAAGCAAAAGAAAGAGTACTGGGGCCTGTATGTAGTCAAAGATAGTACAAGACAAGATGGGCCACTTCTCTCTTTGAGCCAATTAAAAAAGTGTCCTCAAAATTTGGTGGCGCCCTCTTCACAAAAGCGCACTCTTTGTGAACAGAGTTACCCTACTTGAGTTTTAAAAAATCAAAGTGAAACTAGCAAGTTTTGGGATAAATTTCGGAAGAACGCTTTTTAAAAATGGTTACGCTGACAAAAAACCTCTTCCGGAGGAAAAGGAGATGGTTTTCTTCGTTTAATTTGACTTTAGAATGAAGGGCGAGAGGTCATTAAAATAAAAAAAACCCTAAAACTGCGTACTGAACGTACCCGAACTGCTGATGAACAGCAGTCGATCTGCGCACGCAAGGAGGTGCTATTCCTATTCTTCTTCTGGAAAAACGAAAGAGAGCTTCAAAACAGACTGCAGCGCCATCTGAAGCAAAGAGCATACTTCCTGCGGACACTTTTTAGGCTGAGTGAACCATCTTGTCTTGTACTATCTTTGATGTAGTGTAGTGGAAAAACCCACAAACATCATAAAAAAACTGAAAAAAACCCCACCCCAAAAATAAAAGAAAGTATGTAGTAAAAACATCAACATAAAAATCCCTCAAAACACCCCAAAAAAACAAAACGAATTGTGAAAGAGCAACGTACGTTTTTGTCCATTATCCTCTGGATGAAGTCGAGGCTCTCGGCGGGAACCGACTCGCAGAGCTTGTGCTTGAGAGCGCGGAACTGAGCCTGGTGCTCCAGGTAAAAGTCACACTTGGCCTGAACCCAAAAAATGGTGGAATGTGTCACGACACGGTGGAATCAGGCGCTCGTCAATTTTGGTGCATGTGGAGTTATTGGTATCATCTTAAAGCTTGTTCAGTAATGTCGCTCAGGATGAAAAAAATACCCATCTATCTTGAGCAGAAGTGAAGATATTTGTGATTGAAAGAGGTAAGTTCACTTGGTTTCAGCGGTAAAAATAGCGAGAAAATGGCCGTCAAAGTTTGGTAACTTCAATAGCTAAAGAGTCCTTGAAAACTGAAAAATTACATATTTTGAGCTTTTAATCAACGTTTTTCAATATAATTCATATGGAAATGTGTTTTTATTTTGACATAAAAGGGTTGAACAAAAAACAAAAAATTTGAATAAAATTGTGAAACTGGTGGGAAAATGCCAGTTTCTCCAATTTTGTTATTTTGACGAGAGCCTGATTTCACCACAACGCCTCTCAAATGGTATAGGTTTAACGCCCCTATCAACACTATTAGGGTATTTAAGAGGCGGGGCCTCCGAGTTTAACGTCCATCTCCGACAGGACCGAGCTAAATGGGAAATTAGCGTAAAGTGACGTTCCCAAGGACACAACGTCGGACCAAGCTTTGCCTGGACAGGGATGGAAGAAGTTTCTTTTTTTAAATATGAGCAAAGGCTGTTTTCTTCCCAAGCTACCCCACACATCTAACTGCCTCTACTCCTCAAGGCAATAACAATTAGAACAGACATGCAGCTATTACAGAATGGCATAAAGCAGAAGAGTTAACGCTCAGATGCTACTGGATCGGTAACAACAACAACAACAACAGATATGAGCAAAGGCTGTTTTCAAATACAAAACGGTATGTGAGGCAGCGTGGTGAAATCAGGCGCTCTTCAAAATATTGAAAGTCAAGAAACTGGGGTTTTTTTCCACGCAGGTTTGGGAATTTTCATCGAATTTTTGTTATTTGGTTCAACACCTTTCGTGCTCATTGAAGAACAGATTTCTGGGTGGATTTTTACCAATGATAGTAAATAACAAGATGGGCCACTCAGCCAAAAAAGTGTCCGCAGGAAGTATGCTCTTTGCTTCAGATGGCGCTGCAGTCTGTTTTGAAGCTCTCTTTCGTTTTTCCAGAAGAAGAATAGGAATAGCACCTCCTTGCGTGCGCAGATCGACTGCTGTTCATCAGCAGTTCGGGTACGTTCAGTGCGGAGTTTTAGGTTTTTTTATTTTAATGACCTCTCGCCTTTCATTCTAAAGTCAAATTAAACGAAGAAAACCATCACCCTTTCCTCCGGAAGAGGTTTTTTGTCAGCGTAACCATTAAAAAAAAGCGTTCTTCCGAAATTTATCCCAAAACTTGCTAGTTTCACTTTGATTTTTTAAAACTCAAGTAGGGTAACTCTGTTCGCAAAGAGTGCGCTTTTGTGAAGAGGGCGCCACCAAATTTTGAGGACACTTTTTTAATTGGCTCAAAGAGAGAAGTGGCCCATCTTGTTATGTACTATCTTTGTTTTTACTGAAAAACATTGATTAAAGGCATAAAATACGTAATTTTTCAGTTTCCGCGGACTCTCAGGCTCAGGAAATAGTTCAGCTTTGACAGCCATTTTCTCGCAAATTTTACCCCTGAAACTAGGTGAGCCCCCACCTCCTACAATCGCCAATATCTTGACTTGTCTGCCTGTGTATCTATTTGTCTGTCTATCTCTCTCTGTCTGTCTGTCTCTCTCTCTGTCTGTCTCTCTCTCTCTGTTTGTCAGTCTGTCTATCTCTCTCTCTGTCCCCC